CATATAGAAAAATCTACTTAAGTTCTATCAATATGGAATAAAACAAAATATTTAGAAATCCCAACAACAACAGTTTAGTTTGACGTTCAGTCTAAAATGTTACCATCGACTGTTTACTTTATTCGAGCCAAGTCGTTAACCGTGTTTGATCATATTCGGTCGACAAACCTCGGTAGATTCCGCTTCCCTATGTCTACATTAGATCTGCCGAGGTGTGCCGAATGCGATCATATAAAGCCAAATGCCGAGCAGTCCTTTTCAATTTTTCCAGCATTTTGTCAACTAAATATTTAAACGCTCACCAAAACGCCTTCTGGCACCGAGCTAAACAGCCAGTCAAGGTCGTTAAAAACCACCCAGATACAGATGACCCGATTAAAACAGCTGTTAACAAAGGAATATCTATCTTGTAATGCCGTTTGTTTAATTAAACCATTGTGGTGACGTCAGCCTATTCATTTACCGTGGATTCTTTTTCTAGAATCAACGCTTCCTAAATCTGCCGCTGAAATTGACTCACCAAATTATATTCAATTGTTTCCTTTGTGTGCCTAATTTCATTAAGTTTGAATTGGCTTATTTACTGATTTCTGTTCACTAATGGAATTAATTTAAAAACTTACCTTTAATTTTTGTAATGTTTATATGCCTTCACTTGGAATCGAACCCTTCCTTGAAATCTGTTATGTGTGACTGACATCAACACATCGACGAAACCTCTCGGTTACCAATGGATTACACTATAGATGTTTATTTTATATATTTAAATGAACATCTGATATACATCGGTTCATAGGACACACAGGGCTTGTACCTTTATATAGACACAATAGGCAGTCGTATTATATGAGTTGGTAGCCGCGAGGTTAGCATGGTTAAAATCAATGCGTTAAAGATCGGAATTTGTCGGTTTAGGTTCGAATCCCTGTATTCTCTCTGTTGTTCCAATTCTTAAGCTATCCTTGTTTTTTTCTAATTTTGCAAGTTATAGCGGATATTTTTGTTATAATAGCGAGTTTTACCGTTTTTTTATATATTATTATCGGCTATTTCATATGTTTGAAACAAAAATGATTACATTCTATTTGTCAATTTTTGTTTTATAAATATAGTATGATTTCATCTGTTTTACTACATAATTTTACAAAGGTTTGTTCGCAAATTCCTATGCGAGAAAATCGTGATGTGCCTAGAGTGTTAGAAAAGTTTCGATAACATACTTATTATATATACTTTATATATGCTTTTTGGTCGGGTTGTTGTCTCTTTGACACGTTCCCCATTTCCATTTTCAATTTTATTAGAAATAATTTCGAATATGTCTTATTTTGTATAAACAGATAATATTCATATGCCTGGTAATATAAAGATCTTTAAAGGTAGAAGTGTTATATTTGTATTTTGTAAACCAATTAATTGTGATCTGAGATTTATCAATGCATCGTTGGACACGATAACATGGTTATTTAAACTCACTTACAATACCTTCTAATTAAGAAAAGGCTTTAATTTTGAAAAGAAATTAACACAATAGTTTAAGTTATAGATACAATGGATAAGCGTAGATTCATGAAAAACAAACCATTCGCCCTCCGGGCTCATGGTTTCTTTTTCAAGAATCCACGCTTATCCATTGTATCTATATAACATAATCAGCAACAAATTGTGAGAAAATTGATTGTCAATAGTCAATAATAATGAAAGATCACTGTTAACGTTTACCCCTCACCCCCCCCCCCCCCCCCCCCTAACCTACCCCTAAAAAAAAAGAGATTATTAAAATTGTTGACGATCCAAAAGTTTGCAACAAAATCTATGAACAAGTGATTCGGAAATCATTTTTCAAACTGTAAGCATGTCCCCAATTTCATATAATGCTATTTTTAAATACTTGAACTAACATTTAGTACATGGTCGATATCAGATAATTTGGAAAAAGCGTTGCGTTTCTTTCAATGGTCTGTAAATTTAAAACTTGTTTCTAAACTTGTTTTTAAATAAGTATCGATCTATTTCATTTTTCTTAATCTTTTATGCTTAAATATTTACTCTTCTATTTTGCGTCTTTAACAACGATATTGCAATGCAGCAAACACTGTTTTATAGTGGAAACTCAATATTTCGATAAGAAAATTAACTGCACTTTATCGTAAAGGTCTATTCAAAATGTCTTTCAAGTCTACAGTTTAATTTACAGTAATACAGTTTCATGTGCGTACATTTAGGTTCTACCAAAACTACGGCGTATTGGATAACACATACAGGGACAAAAGAAAATAATAAAGAGCTGCGCCACGAGCGTATGATACACCCGTCGCTTTTTCAAAGAATAAATTCCATAACTCCTCAATGTCATATCAAAAATTTATAGAAAAAAAAGATAAAGGGAGGGTTATTTTAATAGATATGAAACAGTCACCAAAGTTTCAGGAAAACTGCTCAAAAACACGTTTGAGTTATTGTCCGAAAACTGGAAAATCCCACATTTTTATGAATAAAATCCTATAACTTGGAAACGTAAAAATCTCAAATTTATAAAACCGAAAGGGAGTTTACGTCAATAGATATAAACAATTCACCAAAGTTTCATGCAAATTGGTTAAAGTGTTTTTGAATTATTGTCTGACATGTTGACGACGGACGGACGGACGGACGGACAGACAGACGGACAAAAGTATAATATAATACGTCCCGTAAACGGGTGTATAAAATTCAGTAATTTTGGCATTTTGAGTAATAGTATCAATCGAAAGTGAAGTTTTATACTGCTTACAAGGAAGATATATCAAACACAGAGTTCCAAGTGGTGAAGTTGAAATCATTCATTCAAACAATTCACAGACGCCATCTGATATTGTTGACCGTTATGGAATATCTGTTTCACAGATGACGACGGATATGTTCCAATTGTCGTAACCACAATCCCGTCCTCTTTTCCTCGAATGTGACCTACCGAATTAGACTTATCACCGGGTTTGTCAATGTTTACATGAGCAACACGACAGGTGCTATATGGCCGTGAGCAGGATCTATATATGTTGTTTGTCTTTTGGTCGTTTTTCGTTTTTTTGCCATGACATTATTAGTTTTTTTTACTTATGAGCTTGAATAACCCTTTGGTAGCTTTCGCCTCTCTTAATATTTTTATTACTCTACAGAATAATTGATCCATTTTAATATATATGTACCCATCCCAAAGGGTGACTGTTGTATAAAAATACGGCCACCTAACTTCTACCATCTGGCAGTTTCACCGATGCAAAAAAGGTACGTCAGTTTGGCAGTGCGGGATGTCTAAATAAAATCGAGTGGGAAAGTTATGTCTCATTTAGAGAATGTTTCACGCTCTAAGCAAGTCGAAAAACCCCCTGCAGCAACTCGATGAGAGGTCCGTATGTATCCAACATACACACTTTTTCCAGTAGCAGTCTGAATTTCAAACCTTTGTCATTTATGCAGAAGATCACTATTTGATGTATTCTTAATTTGTTGCCGTCCTGAATAAACATGAAATATTTGCCACTTGACGTTAGGTAAACAACTTCAATCAAAAACCCTTTGATACAAAATCATGCATTTGAAATATTGCATCAAAATTGTCTTCAACAGCAAATTCAATGAGTTGCGTCGAATAAAATTTTTATTTAACCATATGTTTAATAGTTCCAACCTTTAAAAGCAGACACTAAAATATTCAAATTTCAGTAGGTATCAACAACTTTCTGATTTTGACCCTAAAAGTGAAGCAAATACCGTGTGAAATTGGCCATGCCGCTTTCAGAATGGGAAAACATTTTTCAAATTTTCGTGATATTGATTTATACGGTATATATATGGCCAAGGATTTGTATATACCATACAAATCCTTGATATGGCCCATTTTGAAATTTCCATTCCTTTGATATGCAAATATTTACAGTAGGTGTTCAATTCATACAAACGCTGATCTTTGATTTGCTGAAAGACAAATCATTTGATTCCGTCATATGCTTTCATTTCGTATGGAAGCAACCTAGGCTGTATGAAAGCAGCGATCTGAGATTATAGAATTATTAGCTCCGTCTACTAAATTTATCAACACTACTTTTCGCATTGTTCGTGTACTTCGTGCAAACAATTATGCTTTTAAAAAAATCGCAAATTTTATTTATTTGAAAAAAAATGTATAACAATAAACGATTACTATCCTATGATACACCTATACAATAATGATTGAAATTTGATAAATATTTTACGCGCTATCAACTTTGAAATCGACATCTTCATATGCTAATTTCAGCTATATGACGTATTATAATTGATTTCACGTGGAATGATACTGCTAATAGACAATTTCTGCAGCAGTTTTATGATTAAAGTTTTACTTTCAGATTCATATGCACATAGCATAAACTCTTTTTATTTCAAAAATCTTAAAATATTTCATAAAATAAAAAAAAAGCATTAGGTTCTACAGTGTTTTGTATGTTGTATAAATAAAATACAATAAAATACTCGGTAAGTCATTTTAAAATACTGTTTGTAATGATTATCATTCGAACGATGTAATCCGAGATTGCTCTGCCTTTTCAAAGCATCTCGAACTACTGGGCGTGGAACATCTTTGTCAACACAATGACTCTTTTATTGACCAATGCGCCGAATCTTTAACCTTTAGAACGGAATTCCATTCAGATTCAACTGCTTTGAAATGAATATACCCGTAGTCACTAATTCAATACTTTATCGTGGCTCGACGAAGGAGTTCCTCTATCTTTTTACATGATTATTGTTTAAACAGATAAAGCTGAGAATGGAAATGGGGAATATGTCAAAGAGACAACAACCCGACCAAAGAGCAGATAACAGCCGAAGTCCACCAATGGGTCTTCAACGCAGCGAGAAAATCCCGCACCCGGAGGTGGTCCTCATTTGGTCCCTAAATAAAAATGTGTACTGGAATCAATTTCGTTACATAAGTTTCACTGTTGATGCAACTGTATACAACTACAACATTTAAGCAGTTTGGAACAAAATTTATATAAATAAGTAAAAAAATAACAGTCTGTATTGTAGATCGTACCATCTGCTATAATATACTCGAACAATCTTCACTTGCCTACAAAGTAAAATAAAAGTCTTTAGGTAAGCTCATACAAAAAATATTTAGCTGTGCCTGCTTTAAAAATACAGGATATCAATACTGAATAACAAATCATTATTGTAAAATATGCTTTTTTTTTCGTTCACTTCCACTTAAAATCAGGAAAATGTATTGTTCATCGATATGAAATAGTAGTTTTAAAGCTATGACCTTTACCATTCAACTCCTTGTAATGCCAAAGTTAACTTTTTTTCTGTATAAGTACAAACAATCCATGTGTCTCAAAATATTTGCCATCCGTCTTACTTCATCATGGATTGTCGTTACATACGACGTCGTCAAGAAATCGTTTCAGATGTTTTCATCGAGATATCAACATTATCGTAAAAATTATGTGATATCTTAATCAATCACATATATACTATTCTAATGAAATGCATACAAATGCTATTATAATTCAGTGGTAATCAATCCCCAAAGCGTTCTTCCAAATTTATACCAAGAAAAAACTAAAATTACCTAGCTAGTGTAGTTTCTAACTTATTCTTCTGTTACTTGTATATACGCTTGCTGTATGGAGTATTGGAGAGGAGATACTGCTTATGACTTAATGCTAACTTACCAAAATATCTCTGTAAAGTTCTGACATCTCTTTCCACTTCCATGAGAGACAGCATATCCTCAGCCATATCCTTCTTTATCCTATCCAATTCTCTGTCTGCATTAAAATCAAATTCAACTACTAGTATATATCAGTTTAATATGTATGATACCGATACATTTATTTGACATGAGAGAGAGAGAGAGAGAGAGAAATCAGACAATAATCATAATGATAGAACGCAACAAGATCCACAAATATCTGACGATACGGGCATTTCAAACTACGACATTTGAGAGAAAACTGAGCTGACCAAACTGTTTGACATGTTGTTAGTTTAATCTATACTTTTGTTGTTGTATCTTATATATTGGAGCATTTCTAAAACCTCTTTCTTTAATTTGGCAAGTGCTATTACCTACAAATCCTTTAGCCATGGAGCTGAACTTTGGTGTCTGAAGCTTTCCGTCCATTTAAGTAATCAATATCAAATCGGCTGACGAAAGAAAATTCTTTAACCCAGTTGTATTTTATTGAACGAAATTCATGTATAAGGTTGTCACATTCATCAGGGTTAGAAACAATTACTTCTGCTCTTTCATATCTATAGTGTAATTGTTTTGACTGTGCTTTTATTGTGGAAAACAGGTTTGCAATGTCTGAAATAAATAAGACAGGAATATAATTTTTAAAAAAATCACAGCATTCTCCATCTAGAGTGAAAATGATAATTCTATAATTGTTGTCCTGCAAATCACGCGTTAAACCATCATGATGATTTTATTAAACTTTTTTTTTGTGTTATTGTATTCGTTTTATTGGTTGCTAATGTAAACATAAAGCACAGATATAGTCATGTAAAGCACTACTAAATAAAATCACACAAACAAAATATGATCGCAGTGATTATTGAAAGAAAGCGCAAAGTACCCAGTCTGTTTGTTATCCTTTCACACTGTAATATCGACCGCTGAACTTTCGACTAGTTATCAAACAGATAAGTCATAACCAGTGTATTTATTCATTTGTACAGTTCTAATTGAAGTTACACCTTGATTTATCGAAAGACTATTTTGTTTTAAATGTATTTACCTTTCTTAAAATGTGAAATATCCGTTACTTGGGCTTGTCCTTTTCTGCATTTGCCAAGAATGTTTTCGACTTCTGAAATATCAAAGACAAATGAAAACAAGAGCAAATAAAGAATTTAACAAAGAAACAGTTATAAAATAATTATTCCTATACGGGGACATACACAAGAAAAGAATGAAACAACATATCATATAGACAATGCTAAATATAACCCCGAAGCTAGCATTTGGACATCATGCCTAATGCTTCCATAATATTGCTTAGACATGTAAAAAAAGGAACAATTTGAATTGCTAGGATATCAAGGGAAAAAAAACATAGGGCCCATCTATTAATTCCTTTATTATCTAATTTATTTGTCGGGTTTAAGTCAATCGGCGCATGTATACTTTTAACTGACGTGGGTTAATTTTGGATTGGTATCTTTAGTGAACTTCAATACGCCTTTAAGAATATACAATGTACTTATATTATTAAGATGATTGATTGATTGTCGATTGCTTAACGTTCAGTGGCAAATGTTTCAAGCATGTTCAGGACGAGAACAAATTAGCAATAAATACAATAGGTAGATCATGTAATAGAGGCCGTCCGGGATGAAGGTCGGGGAAATTTGGACTGCCACGGGTAAATGAGGGTATATTGGATAAGGACAGAAATTTAGCCTTGCAACAGGTCACCTACGGACCCATCAAAGAGTTGTTGCAATGGTTCTTAACGTGCAAACACGTGGCTTTCTGTTTACACGAGGCATCGAATATTTATGGAGGAAGACCAATGGTGACCATATTTCTATTCCCCATTCACCTTTGGGGTATATTATTAAGAAACCAAGGTTCCAACTCCTTCTGTCAAAGTTTACTTTAGATGGATTTGCTATTCTTTGGGTTCCCTTTTGAGCATATACCTCCTTAAGTATTCAAATATTTGGCTTTCAAAATTTTCTGATTTGAGCGTTCTTGATGAAGGTAAATCCAGAAAAGCGCTTTGGACGCGCCAAATTCATAACATGTTATTTTCTTTTAAAATTTTAGCTTACTATACATTTACAATATGGAATTATCTGTCAATTGCAATAGATTGCCCTATATATTGTTTCAATATTCATAAGTAAGATAATTAGCAAAAACCTGTAATTCGGTGGTTGTCTTTTATTGCTGTATATCATATTTGTGTTGTACAGTTTGCTTTTGTGTTGTGCCGTTGAACCACTTTCCCAGGTTACGGGGACATGTTTAACACCGCAAGAGTCTTTATGTGCATGTCCCAAGTTAGGAGCCTGTTATTCAGTGGTTGTCGTTTACTTCTGTATATATTATATTTGTTATTTGTTTATCGTTTTGTAGTTTTTTGTTTTGTTTGAATTGATTTACATTTTTTATAATGGAGTCTTTTATAACTTGCTATGCGGTTTGGGTTTTGTTCGTTTTGGAAAACCGCACGGTGACCTTTAGTTTTTGACTTCTATGTCATTTGGTCTATAGTGGAACGTTGTCTCATTGACAATCATACCACATCTTCTTTTTTTCTTTTAAGTTTATTTATCATGTTTCCTAGCGAACGAATTAAGAAGCTACAATTTGGTTAATAAATAATTATAAACAATTTGGCCTAAATAAAAAAATATGCAATGTTCTACAATAGTTACAAAGAACCACTGTGCTCTTGTTGAGTAAGAAATCCCTAATTCACCAGTGGTATTCAAGAATTTATTCATCTTCAGCACCCCTTTAATTTATAACGCAAAATTATAATTATGTTAAATGGTTTCAGTTTCAGTTTCAGTTTCCCCATTGAAATCAATCTAAGAGAAAGAATAATTAAAGTAAAAAATAATATACTAGTAATACCTTTCTCTGAAGACCTTTGAAGAACCAACTGATGGAGAAGAATAAAAAAACAACGGCAATTACAAATATTTGTGCATGTACTGTTGTAAAATTTATCCTTGTGATACTGTCTGTAACTCTTGGAATCTGAAAAAAAAAAAATTTTAACATTTTAAAAGAGACTTTCGATATGCACCTATATATGCTTGTTGGAATTGGGAACCAGTACTTTCATAGTTTTCTTGGTGCAATGATGATTGAGTATGGTTATAATTTATTTTAAAATATGCAGTTATTTATAGTAAAACACAACCACACACCTCACACACCCAAACAAACAAAGGTACTTACCTCACCGGAAATAAACTTTAAGTTAACTAGTTTTGATACGATTGCGAAATCCATTCTACAAGAGAAGAATCATCGTCAATAATAATTATAACAAATATTTTTTAACGCGTTTATTATTCAAAAATGCTCTCTTTTATAACTTACTAGACAGAAGCATTAATATTAGAAAAAGAAATTTGAAGTAAATAAACAAAGCATACCAAATTTCAAACTAGTATGTACATGTATCTATACTTTAAGAGAGTACTTGTAGTTGAAGACAATAAAAACAAAAGATTATTTAAAAAAGAAACATCTCAAAGACATGGCCATGTATTTATTAATAAATCAGCAGTTTAACAGGAGCCAACACGGGCTTTGCTTTTAAGAATTTGTCTGAATTTCCAATTAACTGTTTACAATCACGTTCAAGCAACACATACAGACACGTACCTTAAATTATAAGAATTACAAAACAAACTAATAAAAACATCCATCAACAAAAGTACGCCTTCCATGCAGGCAGCGACCAGTCGTTACTATGTAGAACGAAACACTATGCAACGTCACAAGACTCGTAAAATATTTCCGGTGAACGACGTTTCTAACGCTGAGTGCAAACAAAAATACCATCTTTATGTTGTTGTATTACACAATAATTATTAAAAAAGTGCCAATTCTAAGTGTGCAGGTGAAAAAGGGGAGGATAGCTACTAAGGCATCCAAGGAACCATTTAGAAATTTGATAGGTTTCTACATTTTATATTGTAGTAAAAGTTTCCATGACCTTTTGTACGTTATATATCGTTCGCCTCTTTTTCGACGATTCTTTATTTGAAATACTACAATGGCACCTTTAGAATTCACAAATTATATATTTTTTTTCGTTGCTGTCAGTGACATAATACTTTGACAAAGTTCAAATGGTCACGTTTCAAAGACAATTTGCTTTTCGACTAAAGACATCGCTATCACTTGAAATAAGCAAATGTAACAAATGAAGAAATCGTTAATGGTTGAAAAGGATTGGGACATTTAGCTTTGTTATCATTGATAGGAAATCCTTCGATCTGAAGTTTGTAAACCAAAAATATCAAATCATCCTACCGTAAGCTTTCCGACGGACGACAGCAGGCATTACTTGCTACGTGCTAATGATAATACAACATTAGCACTAGCCTGTGCTTGGAGAGAGATCAGAGGTTTAACATCACAACATCAAGAGATAATGGAAAAGAAAGGCAAGACGAAGACGACAGATTTACAGAACAATCTGATATCTTCCCAGGTACTTGTTATGTGCAATGGTAAACAATCATTAGCACTAGCCTGTGCTTGGAGAGGAGTCGGAAAAAACTCCACCAACAGAAACACATATCGTAAGTCGAAACTTCTGATTTTAACCACTTTCATGATTTGTGTCTCATTTGACATTCGTTATTACAGGGTGAAAAGTCAGTGTTCAGAGTCAACATAACCTTTTAGGTAAAAAGTATATCCACTCAAAAACAGCTACATACCGAAGTTAAATGCGAAAAAATGTTAAGAACATTAAGTCACATGGTTTTGGGGCTTTTTTTTTAATCAAATATAGATCCAGTTCCTCTGATTCTTTGGTTGCAGCCTTATATTGACTTTACCCCTAAATTCTAAGTCGTAGAAATCACAAAAAAAGCGGACAAATATTTGTTTGGAGGACAGATGTTCCAATTCACCACTCAATATTGATATTTTTTTTAACTTTCCTCATTAAAATCTGCCAGTTTTTGCTGAAGGTTGGTTGTTTCTTCGGTACTCCTGCTTCCTCCACCAATAAAACCATGATATAACCAATAGTGCAGAAAGAGGCGTTTACAAATATAAAAAATCAATCCACCAATCAATTAAAAACACGGAAAATTATTTCCAAAACATTGTTTGCCATTAATATAAAATGCCCAGTCTACCTCAAATGTTGTTTTAGCTGATCAATTAGTTAATTATTGGAATTATTAAAATATTGATTATATATTTCTTTACATTTGACATAAAAATAAGGATATGTGACATGATTGCCAAAGTTACAACTATCCATGAAATAAACATTTGAACAACTACAGTTCACAGTACTGTCTTCAACAATGAGGAAAATCTATTCCGTATAGTGAGCTACCAAATACTTTGTATGTCAAAATGTGAAACAAATCAAAAGAGAAAACCAACTGCTTGATTTATAATACAACAATGATCGAAAACAATTATGACAGACAGCAACCAACGACCACCACAGGATTACAGACACCTGGCTTGGGACATGTGTCGAGGTTTAAGATGTCTGTGAGCGATAGTTTAACTGCAAAATAGTCGATTCAAATATTATGAAAAAAACCCATCTGAAATAGATTCTTGAAAATTCCCTTTAGACAATCTTATGTTGTGTAGTTACACGACAGTCAAAGATTAAGGGAAGGGTCTCTCAAGCATGTTTAACCCCGTCACATTCTGTACGAGCCTGTAATTCAGTAGTTGTCGTATGTTGCTGTGTGCCTTTTTGTTTATCGTTTTATCATAAATCAGTCGATTGTTTTTTCAGTATGAATTATTTTACATGTTGTCATGTTGGATCATGTTGGGGCCTTATATAGATCCTTATACTGGTATTGGTTTTGCTCATTGTTGAAGGCGATACCGGTGACATATAGTTGATATAGCATCTACATCACTTATTTTCTTGTGGATAGTTGTCTCATTGGCAATCATACTATTATATCTCTTTATTTTTATATCAGATTGTTTTGGCAATCACTTAAAGTGTCCGTTACCCAACTTACAAATTATCATTTACCTTCATAAAACTTCATAAGACATGTTTACTCTTGCATAACCTTCTCTGCGTTTCTACAAAAAAAATATTATTAACTTCTGAAAGTTAAAAAAAGTAACAAAATATAGTTCGGAGTAAAAGTAAAAAATTTGAAATACTAAGATCAGCTAATTTTTTTATAAGATTTCTGTTACCTTTAACTAGTGTCGATTTCAAGAAGGAAGTAATAACTCGAATTCTATCTTTCTAGTTTGTTACATAATCAGACGCTGTCATTTGGATTTAAAGGTGATTTACCGGGAATAATTTTAACATACAAATTTCTTAAAAGTTCCACCAGCTAGAATGTGACACTCGAAAGTCGGGTTTGAATGACTGATACCCTACAGGTAATAAGTAACGGATATGCATTTGTTTGTGTTTCGGTATAGGAAATACTATTTAAAAAAAGAAATTAGATATTTTTATTATGTAATACTTGATTTATAACTTTATTTCACATTGCGTTAACACTTAATACCGTTGTCAGTTTTCCACTTAAGGACCAGATAGACAATGAAGCATGTAACACCGATGAGAACAAACACAGTTGTAACCTCTCTGCACTTGTTATGGTTAGTACTACCGGGAATCTGAAAGGATATGGAAAATGTACATGGCCCGAGAACATAGTTATTTCGTAGTGCATTTCTTTTAGAAAAAAAAAAGAAAATTAAAAAAATCGCACCTGCTCTATTCAAAAAAGATTTTTACAGTTTAGTGTACTACTTTTGGGACAAATTATATCAAAATTATAGAAAAGTCTATCGGCTCTAACTCAAAGTATGGACAATTTTAAGTAAAGGGAGTATGTAATACAGTTTGACATCTTTAAACATACTAATTTTTGACCTTTTCGAACTAGACCAAATCACTACTTTAACAAAAATGCATGCCCAATTTTATTTACATGTAATTTCATCCCCTTCTTACTATTTTATACATAAAATATAAAGAAATAAATTTGGAAGGTGTATGAAAAAAATTTGCAAGTTATACACCGTCCACACTATAGGGACTCTATTATCAAAGGACGATAACTGTGTTCCCAGACCATATATGGTTAATGTAAACATTTTAAAGAGCATTCGACAACCACAGGCACTTGTTTCTATCCATGGGAACACAGGCACTTGTTTCTATCCATGGGAAGCCCCACTATCAACGTATATTTACGAGAAGGTACCCAACTACTTTTTTCACCTCTCCGCTTCAAACCCTTATTTTGCTGTCAATTCATTCTCAAATTTATTGTTCCATACACCATTCGATTTGTGAAAAGTGTTTCTTTCAGATGGTATGGATTGTATTTACCCTTAGGGTACCCCTTACCTCCAATACACAAGATTTGTCAATAAATATTCATGTGATTGTTTTTAGTCCTCCTACAAAATACAACAACCACTGGTTTAAGGCAGCGAATTTCAATACTGCTTGTGATTGGTCGGTTCATAGTTCATAGGGTTATTCATAAGTTAAAGGTCATTACACTCTCTAGATTTTACTTATTCATTTGTGACTCTCTAGACTTATCATTCACTGTTTTATGCAAATTATCTAGGACTAAAACTTTAAAGGCTACACGAATAAATATATCCCATTTCTAAAATTTAACTAAAAAAATCCCCAGTGAAATGATATTTGTAGCATCGTTATTTTTCTTTTTAATAAGGATTCAGTCCGTGAAATTTTGATACCGGAAGTTATTGTATTTTGTAGGAGGACTAAAAACAATCACATGAATATTTATTGACAAATCTTGTGTATTGGAGGTAAGGGGTACCCTAAGGGTAAATACAATCCATACCATCTGAAAGAAAAACTTTTCACGAATCGAATGGTGTATGGAACAATAAATTTGAGAATGAATTGACAGCAAAATAAGGGTTTGAAGCGGAGAGGTGAAAAAAAGTAGTTGGGTACCTTCTCGTAAATATACGTTGATAGTGGGGCTTCCCATGGATAGAAACAAGTGCATGTGCATGGGAAGCCCCACTATCAACGTATATTTACGAGAAGGTACCCAACTACTTTTTTCACCTCTCCGCTTCAAACCCTTATTTTGCTGTCAATTCATTCTCAAATTTATTGTTCCATACACCATTCGATTCGTGAAAAGTTTTTCTTTCAGATGGTATGGATTGTATTTACCCTTAGGGTACCCCTTACCTCAAATACACAAGATTTGTCAATAAATATTCATGTGATTGTTTTTAGTCCTCCTACAAAATACAATAACTTCCGGTATTAAAATTTCACGGACGGAATCCTTATTAAAAAGAAAAATAACGATGCTACAAATATCATTTCACTTGGGATTTTTTTAGTTAAATTTTAGAAATGGGATATATTTATTCGTGTAGCCTTTAAAGTTTTAGTCCTAGATAATTTGCATAAAACAGTGAATGATAAGTCTAGAGAGTCACAAATGAATAAGTAAAATCTAGAGAGTGTAATGACCTTTAACTTATGAATAACCCTATGAACTATGAACCGACCAATCACAAGCAGTATTGAAATTCGCTGCCTTAAACCGGTAGTTGTTGTATTTTGTAGGAGGACTAAAAACAATCACATGAATAGTTATTGACAAATCTTGTGTATTGGAGGTAAGGGGTACCCTAAGGGTAAATACAATCCATACCATCTGAAAGAAAAACTTTTCACGAATCGAATGGTGTATGGAACAATAAATTTGAGAATGAATTGACAGCAAAATAAGGGTTTGAAGCGGAGAGGTGAAAAAAGTAGTTGGGTACCTTCTCGTAAATATACGTTGATAGTGGGGCTTCCCATGGATAGAAACAAGTGCCTGTGTCGACAACTCACAGTTTACTTTAAACATCTATGATAAACTCCTCATACATACCAAGGATATAATTTTGTACGCCAGAAGCGCGTTTCGTCTATAAAAGACTCACCAGTGACGCTCGAATCTTTTTTTAGTCACAATAATACTACTCCAGTGTATATATCTTTCATATTATGGAAACTTCAACTTGTTAACCTGAAACCAATTCTTTTGAATATATAAAAAACATTCTGTCAAATTAAAAAAAATATATATATATATCATCTTCATATACATTTCTATACTACTAAAAGGTCAAATTACAGTGACGGGTGATGATGTAACAGAACTATTTTACAGACAACTTTGACATGTTAAACTTGAATAGAAGACTTCATTATTCATCTGCCTTTATTATTTTTTGGAACACCGTTTAACGAAATGCACATTCATGTGTATAAAATGAGTATCAGAATCTGTTTAAAATCTTCTTAAATAAGGAATTTATGTTACACGATATATATTACATAATGAAAGGAACCCACGCACATTTTTGTACTTTTACTGCAAATTTAATGTGCAGATCTAGCATAACAGGGACATAAACTTTGCTTTTTAAACATAGTAATTTAGGTTAGAATAAACATGATACTGTGGATATTTAAAAAAACAATATTTCATTTCTAGTTAAACAGATACTTGATATGCAGACATGTTAACCAGCAATATAAACGCTATATCAGTTGAACTTAAAAACACATTACATGAATTAATAATTAAATGCACGTTCAATTCTTAAATTTAAATATATTCGATCACAAAAAAAAGTTAGTGCAATGAAATAATTTTCAAATCCAAGGTTTAAGGTAAATTAGTTAAGCAAATACTACGTTCAGTGTTTGCACAAAATTTTCATGTTTCGACCTTTAGTGGAATCCATTTATTGTTAGTTCTATATTTAGTTTGTTGCACAAATGAGAAAGTATCTTTTCCTGTTTGAATGGTTTTACACTACTCATTTTTGGGGCTCTTTATAGGTTGCTGTTCGGTGCGAGCCAAGGCTCTGTGTTGAAGGCCGTACTATAATGGTTTACTTTTACAAATTGTGACTTGGATGGAGAGTTGTCTCATTGGCACTCATACCACAACTTCTTATTTCTATTTAGTCCCCTTTGTTATGTTCCTGTGCTATTTTAAATATTCACAGAATTTTTCAGTTTTCTTTTGTCTCTGGAACTTTTGTAAGTTTTCAGTCTTAATCATTTTGTTGTTTGGACGATGTTTTTTTTTTAATTTTAGTTTTGCATTTGTTTGGCCGAATATTTGTGTCTCTTATGTGTAATTTGCATTATCAAATAATTTCTAAATCAGTTACCTTTTCAACCCGGAAGTGCAGAATGCTGTAAATTTGATGAGTTCTTATATTGCTTTTATTTCTAGATGAAATTTTATATCAGGAGTTAATGGCAATAATTATCACAATGTATCATAGTAGAAACAATGACTAGATAGGAAATTTCATCGTTCTTTTAATGACGAAAGCATACTTTAATTATAAATAGTCAAATAAAATATCGTATTTTAAAAATATGGGTTTCAACCCATTCAGACTCTTTGTTGTTTGCTCATAAATCTTTTTAATTGCATAGCTTGCCATGTATTAATGCATCTTTTAATTTTTTAACGTATGTCTCCAAACTTGACTGTTACTAACCAAGTTTAATTCCGATAAGTTTCGGTAGTTTTCACTTTCATTAATTATCAACAGACTAAAATGTTTAACGTTTCCTCCAGTAAAAGAGGGACGAAAGATACCAGAGGGACAGTCACACTCATAGATCGAAAACAAACTGACAACGCCATGGCCAAAAATAAAAAGACAAACAGACAAATAATAGTACAGATCACACAACATAGAAAACTAAAGACTAAGCAATACGAACCCCACCAAAAACTGGGGTGATCTCAGGTGCTCCGGAAGGGTAAGCAGATCCTGCTCCACATGTGGCACCCGTCGTGTTGCTTATGTTACTACAAATCCGGTAAATAGTCAAATTCGGTTGGTCACATTCGTGAAAAGGGAAGGGTATTGTAGTTACGACATTAGGAACATATCCGATATCACCCGTGAAACGGTTATTCCATAACGGTCAACCAACTCGTGATGGCGTCCGTAAAATTTACGAAGGGATAATTTCAACTTCACCATTTGGAACTCTTGGTTTAATAGTAACTGCCATTGAAATGGTATCATATCATCTTTTATTAGAGTTGTATTTCTTTCGCTTTTATTGTTTTTCGTGCATTTTTCACTCACTTTTTCTAAAAAAGTTCATTGGAAGATACCAAGACCTTGTTGATAAATATTCCGTATCAACTTCACGAAAAATACATGATGGTCTTGAAGTATAGATTCTAGGTACTGACGTTGTTTATCATCTTAATTACATATTATAGTGGTCGTTTTATTTGTCCTTGTATATTTTGAAGTCCAATTTTTGGTAATATACTTTTGGCGTGGCTTGGTACTTATACATCCCGCCATTGTGTTATTGTGCTATGGTCGATTTTGTGTTCTTGTCTTTCATTTTTGCTTATGTACTTTGTCTATAGAGTGTCTTTATGTCAATTTATTTTCTTTGTTAAAATAATTCTTTGTTTTTATAGTGATTAAGATTATATTACAATGTTGACTGCTGTACCCCATTTTTTGACATTTTTATCTATTATTTCTGTTTGTTTTGCTCACACATTGTTGTCAATACAATGGAATTCTATGCGACTGTCATACAAGTGAGAGGTTTAGCTAGCTATAAAATCAGGTTTAATCCACCATTTTCTACACAAGGAAATGCCTGTACCAAGTCAGGAATATGCCAGTTGTTTTCCATTCGTTTGATGTGTTTGAGCTTTTGATTTTGCCATTTGATAAGGGACTTTCCGTTTTGAATTTTCCTTGGTATTTTTGTTATTTTACTTTTTATAAATCTTACAGAGGAAGAATGCAGTACTCACAAAACTTGTTTAACACCTACAAATCTTACGCCAATTTCAATGGACAAGATTAACACTTTGTCCAGAGTTATCTAAGAGTTTTTGATAACAAATGCAAGACAATACAACATGTAAAGCCCAAAGAGGTATAACAGGAGTCTTCAAAAAAAAAAAAATCTACAGTACAATAGACCGCATCAACCAACAACACACGACTACTTAAATAAAAATCCAAAACCAACCAGACATACAAATAAGGACAAACAACAATGAACAACAAATGGTATAGGCTAAGTTGTGACAGATACTAAATTTTGTTAAGCTATACTCACCTCCCGAAATATTATAAAAAATATTATAAAAAAAAAACAGTTTTACCCCCCCCCCCCCCCCCCCCCCCTAAAAAAGCCACTAAAAAATCAAAAAGAACCCAGAAATTAAAAATTAAAAAAAGTGATATAACCATGAATCTGCTTTGGGTTTCATGCTCCGTCACATTTTCATATTATCTTTGAACATTCTTTAAATTAGACCTTTTTGACCACTTATGAAGTTTTGATTATCTAACTCAGTTTGTACCTGAAACGACAAGAAACAGAAATCTACATCAAAGGATCTTTATTGTGGTATTTATTGATAACTAAGATTTATGCCAGGACAGTTTTAACGAAGGGAGAAGATACAAAGAGGACAATACAAAAACATAACCAGAAGAAAAAACAGGTAACACTATTATCAAAAGTAAATAGACAAACTTATAATCCACACTCATCAAATATAAAAATCACAAGATGTCGTATGATTGTCAATGAGACAACTCTCCATAAGATACAAAATGACGAAGAATTTAACAACTATAGGTCACCGTAAGGCCTTCAATAATAAGCAAAACCCACACCGCATAATAAGCTGTAAATAGCCCCGAAATAACAACTTGGATGTATGCAATTCGAACGAGAAAACTAACGGCCTCATTTATGTACAAAACAATAAACGAAAAACAAATATGATATACGAGAACAGACGACAACCACTACAATTCAGGCTCCTGATTTGGGACAGGCACAAACAGAATGTGGCGGGGGTTAAGGTCTGCTTTTGAAAATGGCTTTCTTCATGTTTGTTTTACAGGGAATAACATTATACCAGACATGTCAATGGACTTTACGGTGAATGTCCAGGGGAAGAGTCATTACCAAAACACTAACCCAACAGTATATTAGCCCGATCTTTGTAGACATTAATCTTGTATAAGAGTTACATTATACTATAAGTGATTTTGTTAAGCTATAATGTCTGTAAAACGGTGTTTGAAAACAGTCCATTAAAGATTAAGATGATTTAATCGTTATAATCATTACAGTTGTTATATTAATCCATTTATTTCATGTTTACACTGTTTTACTTTTTGTTGGTATACATATTGAAGTTAAATACCGAAGCGTACGCACGATTACATAAATTTAATATGAATGCAATATTTGTCCTTTTCTTAATTTGGATATTCAGCATGTTTCACAACGGAAACTTTACAAAAAAATAACGAGATCTTGTTAAAAATAGGCGGAAGATAGCCTTCTATAGATAACTATACAATATGAGTATTTCTCATGTTAAAGTATGGCCATATGATGACCTGTAATTATCTTAGATACACTTGGCTGATAGAACAATCAATAATGTAAAACATACAAAATTTTATTTGGCGAATGTACAATGTACGACCACGGCTTACAATAAATAGGTGGGGCTACCGAGCAAAATGTAAATGGCAAGCCCTAACCGTTAACACATAAATCGTAATTCTTATCCTTATCCTTATAATATCATTATCCTTATACTACACTCATCATTAATTGTGTAACATTAAACACTAACTTTCCATTAAACACATGTATCTTTATCAAACATATATACAATACTTGCATAAAATTAATCGGACTCTGGCTCTGGGATCAGAAGCTTAGCACCGAAAAAAGTTTATTTCTAATAAGTTACGTTACACATTGAATAGTGTATATGTTGTGTCGCTAAATTTGCGACATGTGGTCGCACGGCAAAACTATTTGCCGTTAGCGACCACCGCCGACAAATAAAGGAAGCAACACTTTTGCGTGGTCATACGATACATTGGCTAATTATCACGGTCTCGTGTGTTGCTGCTTAATGTTCGTACATATTAGATCATATCCCAAACCGCATCTTATATATATATATATATATATATATATATATATATATATATATATATATATCATTTCCTAATGATGACAAATGTACGCCATCTGATTCGAACAACGAAGATATAGCACCGGACATATGTTGTTTTTGTTCTCTGCTATATCGATTGACACATCTTTCCCATATTTGTCTGTTTTTGGAAAAGGAACATACAGCTCTATTTTATCCAAGACGATTTATATATGGTTTATGCTAATAACTTGATATTTCTGCCATGGTTTGCTCAGTACAATTTCTCCCACTCGCAGCAAACCATGAAAAGTGAGTGTGAAAGCAGAGGAAAATAAGGTAGCTTCAAAATTAGAAGAACAAACTGACGGTAGGTAGCGCAATGATTACACTATTTAATATCTCTTCAGTAATTGGCAATCTTGTATCATTTCAAATTTTCTTGTTTAATCTTTTCATACCCTCTAGCATTTTCTTTATTATGAAATTTTGGGAGAAATCTACGTACTGTGCCGTTTTGCAACGAGAATTAATAGAAGACAAATAGGTACTGGCAGTATTGTGTGAGTTACCGCTCAGTTATGTGTGATAGTGGAGGTGGCCATATATTCTCCAAGCAATATTCCTTGCGAAAATACTCAAAAGAGGCCAACCAATGTTCGACATGCTTCTGTTGTATTCTCTGAAATTGATACATTTATAGGTCGTCCAACTTCATTTCCGAAATTAGACGAGAGAAATATTTTGGTATTTTCTGTGGGTGGATATCCGCATCCGGCTGTAAATCTCTGAATCTGGTTCACTGTTTACGAGGAACGGCATCTGCTATGCAACTGAGCCGGCCTTCAATATGGCATGCTTTAAATTGCATGTTAAATAGCATGGTTTGCAGGACAAAAGGCTGGACCAGTTGCATAACACACTTTGATTTCGACGATTTCTTTTTTTATAATAGATACTAATGCTTTGTAATCTTTATGAAAAATTATGAGTTTGTTAGTCAACTGTGTTTTGAACATACATGGAAAGTAATATCAGGGTACAAGTTTTAAAAAGGTAATGTCCGACATAATATCAGGCTGACTCCAACCAATCGGGCACTGTAAAAATGTCCAGTGGCGAGAAAAATAAACCCCACATCTGAGTTCAGAATTTCCAACACTATCAGTAGATAGGTTAAGTAGCTCATTTGTAAGCCAAAGGTTTTCTCCAAATTTACAGGAACATTAGAACAAGCTCACATTAATTTGACAAGTTTTATTTTTAATTTTTTGTGGTTTTTTTTTTCAGAGGTAGTAGTAGATGAAACAACAGTGACAGAAGAATGAATGGCAACATATTAATTAACATTAACTTAAAATTAAAATAAAGCAAATTTTATTTATGATGCATTTTAAATATGAACATTGGGAGATGTTGGATAAACTTTAATGAGACAGCAAGCCAGCAGCACAATCACAATAGATATTTAGAGGTCAACTTAAACTTCATGCGAAAATAAAGTTTGTTGTTTTCTATAGAAATTGAAAATATGTGATATAGTTCGATTGAAAGTTAGCTACTTTTTGAGGCTTTGATACAATTTGCACAGTTTATTTAGATTTAAAATTATTGTTTTAGAACTTGTATATGAATAATTTTTTTATTCCACGTTTAAGATAGTATATCAGTATATAAATAAGGAGATGTGGTATGATTGCCAATGAGAATATTTGTAATTTTTTTTAGAATATCTTCTTTACGTGTCTGGTTGTGTCTGCCAATCTTACTTCATATGACTATGTTACATGCAGTTAGTTTTATTTATTTCCGTTGTATGTTTTTATTGAACAGCATTCACTTAATGAGTCATGGCCTTAAACATGATATGCATTGATTAGAAGTTTTCCATGGTATGAAATAACGTTATTTTCTGAACTTCAATTTTTGCTGATATATGTAGTTGGCTGCTATAACCTTGTTCATGCTCTCTACAGTACTGTTACATATCTAATAATTATTCGACAGTGATTCATTATATACATATTTTGAATTACTAAGGTAATTCAAAAGGGGGAATATGACAATTATTTAGTCTAGTGCCATAAGACCAAAAAGAGCAGATTCCTCCAGGGAAGAAAATGCACCAAAGGGGGAGATAATGTCCTTGAAAAAAAATGCCCCATATTGATGACCAGAAGTAATGTCATTTTTTTATCAGGTAATAAGTATGCTTCGAATTGGTGTACATAAATAATTCTCTTCTGTTAAACTGGTGAAAGCTGCAGGGTCACTATACCTGGTTCTTGGCTTTGATGCTCGTATTCCTCAAAGATTGAGTTTAAATAGTTATGTATTTATATTTGTCTGTGGACCTGTCTTTTACTTGTATCGCTTGTATATTACATTTCGATTAAGGATGTAATGTACTTTAATGGAAAAGAATGTGGGGTCATTAGACTTATTTGTATTCAGGAAATATGATGGACATAGCCCTCTGGTTAAAATGTTTGGTCATATACGGTATGCTGTCCTATATGTAAAATAAGATACGATACATTCAAATTTATTGGTCTTTTTAAAAGGTTATCTATTTAAAAGTATCGTGAGGTCTTTGAATATGGTCTTTATCGGTATTTACAATTGATGTTATTTAAAAAAATGATATGTAACAGTTGCTTTCTAGTTTCAACTCAGTAGCATTCTAGTCCTTTCCAATGCTTTTAAGTTGGTTCTAATGTTTTGGTGTTGCAGGAAATATGATGGACAAAGCTCTCTGATGAATATAGAGGTTGTTTGGTAATATACGGTATGGTGTCCTATATGGCATTTACCAGCAGGCCTTTTGATAAAAAATAACTTTGAACTTGATGTTGAATAGCGGTTAAAATGTATTTTGTTTGCATGCAGGTTCAAAGTTAACGACGAGGTTTTTTTTTGACGACCTTGACAACCCATGAGGGTTTTTCTGTAGATTAATGAGCCAAAAACAAAAAAAAAAATAGAAGAAACTTCATTGTGGAATATTAAAATGTAGGAAATGAATCTGATTGCGTATATACATTGTATTCATAAAGAAAACAAAAATGATGGTAAGAACCAGATACTCAGTAGACAAATATTGTTTTTATTGGTACTAATATTGATTTTGTTATCAGTAAATTAAAAGCAAACTAAATATCATTGTTATATACATATACACATTCATGGATCTACAATCTGTCGATACCTGTATCTTGGCATTGTACAAGGTCATGTTTTTCTCTGACTGTTTATGACGTCTTTACACTAAATCCATTGGATGTTGGATGTGTATGGATTGATAATTTAGTCTTAGATGCGTAATTTTTTTTATTAGTTGTTAGTGGCTTTGAACTAGCTGTCAGTAACTGCGAGTACTCTCAGATCTGTACTTGGTGTCTTTTTGTTGTTTGGATGTACAAGTACCCGGCCATGTCCACTTGTATTTGTAGTATTTGTATTTTTATCCATCTGATGAGTTAAGCCTATTTCAACTGATTTTTATAGTTTGTTCTTATGTTGTACTGTTACACCACTGTCCCAGGTTAGGGGGAGGGTTTGGGTCCCGCTGACATGTTTAACCCCGCCACATTATGTATGTTTGTGCCTGTCCCAAGTCAGGAGCCTGTAATTCAGTGGTTGTCGTTTGTGTATGTGTTACATATTTGTTTTTCGTTCATTTTTTTGTACATAAATTAGGCTGTTACTTTTCTCGTTTGAATTGTTTTACATTGTCATTTCGGGGCCTTTTATAGCTGACTGTGCGGTATGGGCTTTGCTCATTGTTGAAGGCCGTACGGTGACCTATAGTTGTTAATTTCTGTGTCATTTAGTCTCTTGTGGAGAGTTGTCTCATTGGCAATCATACCACATCTTCTTTTGTATATTAAATGTACACTATACGTCAAGTAAAGGTGGTTATCTCACAGCCGAATGGCTTATGCCGGTACGATCAGCGTATTTAATTTAGACTTTAAACATTCCGAAGGGACAAAATTAACATGTATGTATAACTGTGCAAGGTTACAAAAATAATGTTTTTTAACATGTGAAAAAGGGGTTATTGAAGCTATTATACCACACACATTATAGTTGATTTGACTGCATTATAATGGGCAGTATGTATCATTCTAGCCTTTTCTCATCAACTAAGAAAAAGTAACCGAATAAGAAGGGAATGCATTTATGCCTCTCTCTTTGTCATTTTGTTTGTTTTGATTGCTTCTTTGTACCGATCTGACGAGTATAGCCCCATTTCAACTGATTTTTATAGATCTATAGTGCTTTTGTTGTAGGATTTAGCCATTGTCTCATGTTAGTTGCAAGGTTTAAAGTTTACGAACATGATTAACCACGCCACATTCTTTAAGTGCTTGTCCCAAGCCAGGTACATGTATTCTTGAAGGGAGAAATTCCCCTTTGAGTCCTTATAGCAACGTTTCAGGTAGACGGGATTTGTAAATGACCACCCATGACCAGGTCAACCTATATTGACAATGTCACGTCAATAAAATTTCATTACGCAAAGCCATTTCTGAGACAGATTAACGTCTACTACTCACCGAATCGATTGTCGGATGTAATGGCAGACAGATTTACCTCAAAAATGTTTCCGATAATCTGAAATGCCGTGCACAGAATCAACTGTAGAAAATAATTTTATGGTTTACAGTTTAATTCGCATAATGGCCAAAAACAGATTGTAATGGGCGAGTCAGAGGCGTAATGAGAAGGGACAGAACAGAACTAAAATTAAACCATTGTCGTGACGTCAGCCTATTCATTTACCGTGGATTCTTTTTCTAGAATCAACGCTTTCTAAATCTGTCGCTGAAATGGATTCACCAAATTATATTCAATTGTTTCCTTTGTGTGCCTAATTTCATTAAGTTTGAATTAGCTAATTTACTGATTTCTGTTCACTAATGGAATTAATTTAAAAACTTACCTTTAATTTTTGTAATTTTTATATGCCTTCACTGGGAATCGAACCTGTCCTTGAAATCTGTTATGTGTGACTGACATCAACATATCGACGAAACCTCTCGGCTACCAATTGGTTACAATTTAAATGTCTATTATATATATATATAAATGAACATATGATATTCATCGGTACAACGGACACACAGGGCTTGTACCTTTATATATACATAATAGGCAATCGTATAGTATAAGTTGGTAGCCGCGAGGTTAGCATGGTTAAGATCAATGAGTTAAAGAGTTAAGTTAAAGGTAGGGACTTGTCGGTTTAGGTTCGAATCCCTGTATTCTCTTTGTTGTCCCTATTCTTTAGTGTTTCTGTTTTTTTTTCTTATTTTGTATGTTATTGTGGATATTTATGTAATAATAGCGAGTTTTACCGGTTTTTTTTTTTATTATTATTGGATATCTCATATTTGAAACGAAAATGATTACATTCAATTTGTCCATTTTTGTTTTATAAATATAGTAAGATTTCATCTGTTTTACTACATAATTTTACAAATGTCTATTCGCAAATTCCTATGCGAGTAAATCGATTCGTGATGTGCCTAGAATTATGCTTCTTGCTAGAAATTTCGGTAACATACTTATTATATATACTTTATATATGCTCTTTGGTCAGGTTGTTGTCTCTTTGACACATTCCCCATTTCCATTCTCAATTTTATTAGAAATTAGTTCGAATATGTCTTACTTTGTAAACACAGATAATATTCAGATGCCTGATAATTTAAAGGCAGACGTGTTGTGTTATATTTGTATTTTTCTAACCAATAAGTTGGGATCTTATATTTAGTAATGCATCGTTGAACATGATACCATGGTTATTTAAACTCACTTACAATACCTTCTAATTAAGAAAAGGCTTTAATTTTGAAAAGACATTAACACAATAGTTTAAGTTATAGATACAATGAATAAGCGTTGATTCATGAAAAACAAACCATTCGCCCTCCGGGCTCATGGTTTCTTTTTCAAGAATCAACGCTTATCCATTGTATCTATATAACATAACCCACAGAACTTGTCGACCTCTCTGTCAATAAGGTAGGCGTTGGTTACAAACAAACATTCCCCATCCACGACGGTGAACACACCGATCAAATAAAATTAGCAAATACCACATGAATTGAACATTGAACGCGACGTATTCAACTTAACTTTCGAACTGCGAACGTAATTAAGACGACAAAGCAATGAATGAAATGTATGTTTATATGTGTATTTTAAAAGTATTGCATATTTAAAAAAAAAAAAAAAAAATCTTTGTTGTGTTTTTAAAACCCTTTAGTATATATACAATACACCGTTTCTCTACCCCAGCCAAGTAAAATGTACAGAGCAAAATAAAACCATGAAACTGTTATTTTCTGTTGAGAACATATGTTAATTTTAGTTTGCATTTACTCTTCAGTTCAGATAAGTTAAAAGTAAAGAGGACGTGTAAAAAGCAATAAATCCATGTTGCTGTTTTTTTTCTTCT